CAGCTGCTCTCATTCCTGACCAGAAAATGCAAAGTGGGCTGAAAAGCAGCACCTACTTCAGGGCAGGTAAGACTTCACCAGGGAAGGCACCTGCAGGAAAAGGGTTGACAAAAAGCTCTTTTTTGGGGCTTTTTGAAGCCTTATCTGTGCTGGGAGGGGTCAGCTAGTGGGTGGAGCCAGCACCACCCACCTTAACGAGGTTATAAGAAGCCTCAAGGAGCGACCAGTTGCTTCCCACCAAGCACCAGGTGGGGTAAATGGTGTTTGTGTGTCCCCTGGTCGGTGCCGTAGCTGGTTGCAGCTCGCAGGACAGGGTGCTGAGCCTCTGCTGGGGTGCAAGGTAAGTTCAATCCCTTTGGCGCTTGCAACGGAGGACAGAGGAGACAACACCTGTGTGAGCTGGGAACAGGTGAACGACCTGCTCAGCCTAGTGGCTGAGCTGAAGGAGGTTGAGCAGTATCAGGGAATGCAAGAGAGAGAGAGAGGGATGGAGTCCTATGGGGGGGACTGGCTCTTGGAGAGGAGGATGATTCCCAAAGTGCCGGAAAGACCGAGTCACCATAGACCAGGCATCAAAAATGGCTCCAAAACCAGAGCAGACGGGTCATTTTTGTGGGAAAATTTCTACTGAGGGGGGCAGAGGGGCCAAGATGCCGTCCTGCCCCCTTCCCAGGGCAGTCTGCTGCCTCCTTGGTGAACAGGTAAACCCCTCTCCTTCTTACCCCCTTCTAGGATTTCAGGTGATGAAGTGGGCAGAAGGAGCCTCAAATCAATTAAAAGAGATTTTAGAGCTGCCTAAGGGATCAGGAGCGCAAGTTGTGTTCTCTGTCCCTTCAGGGAATTGGCTGGAAGAGACAACAAGTCAACTTACTTACGGCTCTGGGTGTTCTTGCCAGGGCTTTGGGGGTTTTTTTTTGCTCCTGGGCTGCTCAATGAGACACCTGGCCCATGGGATGCACCTATCCCGGAGGGGGAAAAGAATTTGGTGGCAGGAGTTAGCAGAGCTCATTTTCAGCTCCATTTCTCCTGTTCCGCAATGCTTTTGGCCCCGTGTTCGTGAGATAACAACAGCTGGCAAATCCATGGTGCCTCGCCTGTGCGTCGCAGCTTTTAATTTTATTTAAGAATAACATCGAGCTGGCAGAGCGAGTCGGGGTGATCACGTTATGTCTAGCAGGTCCGTAAAACGGCGACCTGGAGTTGATAGCCGGAGCCCGGATGAACATTCCTCCTTTACAAGGGCCATATGGGCAGAGTCACCAAATACAGTTCCCTGGTAAGGAGGCAGAGAGGCAAAATACCAACAAAAAATATAAAAAATAACGCATGGTCTTTTTTCTTTTAGCGCAGACTCCAAAAGGGGTTTTGTCTTCCCCAAGTTACAGCTCGAACAAATCGCCATGAAAATCAGCCTCTTTTTTTTCCCCCCAAATCAAGACATTACGGTCAGCGCCAAAGAATTACGGTTACGTGAGTCCACCCAAAGTTTTGTTCCTTTTTCTGTTTTA